CATCTCTAACACTTGTAATCAATCAAATTGATTGTATTCTAACATATTCTAACCCCAAAAAATATTGGATAAGTCATTCTGTGGTTCAACGCAATGTTTACGATGCATGGATAAGTCATTTTGACGCCTTTGCATCCTCTTCAAGATGAATCCTGTGCATGCATAAATCCGGAGAAATACCTGAAAGATCATCAAGAGAGTAGCCAAGAGCCTTGTGAAAAGTGCGCAGCTTACTTAGCAGTAACGTGAGCTCTGCGTTGTTTAAAGAGGCATTAACAATGACCGGATAAGAAGAATTAGCACCAAGAAATGCGTACCTCAGCCCCGTAGGAAGTTGCTTGAGTTCGATTTTTGGGGCCTTTTCAGCACTCCAATCACTTAGCTCAGCAGCTTTTTTAGAAGGCTCAACAACCTCTTTTAGGTGAACCAGCTTCATCATTGGCGCACTAGCATCCATCAACTGAACATACTCAGAAGCCTCATCATCTAAAGACTCGCTTTCATCTGCTGATGCTACCAAAGCTCTCTCTAGAGGGTCTGGAAGGCGTATCTCTTGTATCATATCCTCAGCAACTTCGGAAAGCTTGTCTACATAGAACGTCTGTCCATCGATAGTGGGTCGCTTCACTAACTTATCCATGTCAAACGTCATCACCATATCACCCACGTGTAATCCAATCCTCCCATTCTTCACATCTATCAAGGCTCCAGCAGTAGCCGAGAAGGATCTCCCTAGGATAAGAGGGTCCTTAGGCTCTTCACCATACTCAAGAACTACAAAGTCAGCAGGAATCAAGCATTCTCCGATTCTGACAAGAACATCTTCTAAAAGACCATCGGGAATGCGGACTGAACGATCGGCTAAGACAAAAGTGATCTTGGTAGGTGTGAAATCAGTCATACCCAGGCTTATAGCAACTGATCTAGGCATCAAATTTACGCTGGAACCAAGATCACACAAAGATCTCGGGAATCTCCTATTGAAAATGTTGCAATCGAGTACGAAACTTCCAGGATCTGATAGCTTCCTTGGAATCTTATTCGGAAGCACAGCGCTGACTAGTACAGAGACCATCATAACCCCTTCCTCTCTAGACAAATCCTTAGTCACCATCTTCTTTACAACCCGCTTGAAAGTTGGCGAAGTCTGCACGCAGTCAGGAAAAGGCATCTCAATTGTGAGTGACTCCAATATCTTCCTGTATTTTTCCTCCTCTTGCTCCTGTTTTGACTTCTTAGACTTCTTAGGAAAAGGGACTGTAGGTTTGTAGACTCTGGTCTCGGTCGTGGAAGGCGGTGAAGCTGAAACTGGTTCTGTCCGAGAACAGTGTCGATCGACACAAGTGTGGTGTCGAACGAAACCCATGGTTGGTGTCGAGCGACACCTCCTGCGGATCGACAAAATCTGCATCTTCAATCCCATCAAGCTCAATGACATCTTCTACTGTCAAACCTGGTTTCAACACTGATTTGAGCTGTTTTCCACTCCTCAAGGTCACTGCATTGCAAGGATGTTTAGGATTGGCATCGGTCTTTCCAGGGAGAAAACCTGGTTGTCGG